TAATCCAGATATCTGCCATATGCATTCCTGAATTACTCTGGTGTAATAATAAATATATCATGACAATTTTTGGTTTGTTTTAAAAGTATGCCTTGCATTTTTAAACTATATCAGGATTTTTCTTCTTTTTAATGTTATTAAGTTTAAAAGGGCTCTTCGGGAGGCTCAAAGACAGCGTGCCAGCTTTCCATGGTTCGATTCCCGGTCAGAGCAAAAATAGAGATGAAGCATTCTTTTACAATCGTCTCGGTTTCTATAGCAGAGTGACGAAAGGAAAAGCTTAAGTAGGCCAAGCTAGAAATGTCTTAGGAAATGGTTCTTGCGCACCACGTGTGTCTAACCCCCAGACATGGATAATAATTAAAAACAGGACCCAGACCGGAGAACAACGACGCTAGCTGGCGAAACTCAGATTAATTCGACCCTAAAATGCCAAATACATACAAGTTTAAAAGAACACCAACATAGGTAACAGGAAGCTTTGCCTGGTAATGCATTTTTGTACAAAAGTTTCTTCAGTTACAATTGAAATTCTTACAAATTTCAGTATAAAATGAGTTAGGCTGTACTCATTTTAAAAACATATTTCTCTCAGAAACTGAAATAAATGAACCCGCTGTTTCTGACTTGATAATGGTTTCTGATTTGAAAATTAAATTAGTGTTCAGTTCCACTGATGAACTTAAGACGCGGTATACCTTATTTTTCGCAACATTACTAACGACATTCGTGCGGAAGGGTTAACGAAAGAAAGACATTTGGAGCGCCATCTTCCTTTCCGCTTGATCTTGCACCTACTCAGCTTCCGGGCACTGTTCCCGAGACTTCGCAAACAGACGGCCAACTCTCGGTCCCTCGGGGCGCCCACTTGGCGCCTTATCTCGCCCTTTCGCCCCGCCCCCTCCCCGCCGCAGCAGCCGCCGCTTCCCATTGGTCACGGCACCGTTCAGGCCGTTTAATTTACGCCTTTCTCGTTCCGCTAAACGACATCGTAAACCGCGCTCCGCGCAGTGCAGACCATTGGACCGCAGCTCTCGCATGTGGCCACCTCCGCTTTCGCAAAGGGGGAAACGGGGAAGAAGTCTCCCTCTTCGTCCTTTTTTTCTCTCCCCGTCCCGTCACCCTCACTCTTTCTTCTACTCGGCCACCCCTTCTCACTTACCCTCCCTGTAAACCAAGCCCTCTTTATCCCACCCTCCCTGTTTCTTTTCCTCCCCGTCAACTCCCTTCCAATCATACATGATCCACCCCTCTCAGTTACGGAGAAGATATGAAAATTTCCCAGCTCTGCCCCTTCCCTCTTATTCCCGCCACGCAAAGCCCCCCCCTACCCATTCCCTACCTCCCCCTCCCCTCCCCCAACCCAAAAAAACTTGGCGTCACCCCCTTGCTCACTTACCCTCCCTTTCAACTTTCTCCCTTCCCACTCTCACCCTGCTTCACTCTCCAGCAACTCCCTGTGCCATCGCCCATTCACCCACCTCTACCTCCCTCACTCATTTCGATCCCTCGTCCGCTCTCCCCTTCAATATATTCTGTCACCCAAAACCCATCTCCCATCGCTCGTAAGCCCACTTTAGAACAAAATTAAATATATATATAATATATATATATATATATAATATATATATATATACTTATTTGCATCGAAAGTGGACAATTTACATTGCAGTTTGAAGAAAGAAAATTAGGATGTATTCCCTTGATGTGATAGAAATTAAATTAGAAGCTTGCTTTTCATGTGACGCGGATTCTCCGGGGACTGGGAGATCTGTCATCCAGAAGCGAATGACTAAATTACAACATTTAAAGTTTCTTCATTTAGGATAAATTAAAATTGGAAGTGTCGTGTCTGTGGTTTCCAAATAGCTGCTTTATTCTAAAGCTCAAGCTAATTTAGACGCACATAAAAAACAAATCAATTGGTTTTACTATTTTCCGTATTGGGAACCGGGGAATCCCATAGAACGAAATTTCGACGCCGGTTTTCACTGCGAATGCAGTGTTTCGTCGGGCATAACTTATACTATTTTCGTTCATCCTAAGTTGCCTTCTTATAACTTGGTGTGATCGGAAAGCAGTCTAAAACGCGAGTGACGAAAACGTACGCAGGGTACTCAAGAACCAATAAGCGGTATAGAATATTAGCTTTTTGCAAACGAAAGAACAAATTCAAATTGAAAAATAACTTGTTAAATTAAATGCTTAGAAATTGAACTAAACATGTAAAACACTTTATATTTCGAACACATATGCTAAACACTTTATAACGAACACATATTAAACACGTTTATATACGGAACACGTAGTAAACACGTTGATATACGAAACACGTATGTAAAAACACTTTATATACGGAACACATATGTAAACACTTTATATACAACACACATTAAACATTATATACGAACACATATGTAAAAACATAATTTAACATATTATTATAACATCTTTACCCGATTTATCAACACATTTTTATAACATCTTACCCGATTGGTGGTCATAAAAGTTTCGCTTACCGGACCTTTGATGATTCTCCTGTCTCGAATTTCAAATAAGCATGGTCTACGATACTTATTTTGTAAATGTATTAGAATGGTTTTTGTTTGTTGTTTTAATTTTCTTTGTTTCTGTCTTTCCTTCTCTTTTCTTTTCTGTCTTTTCTTCTCTTTTCTTTTCTGTCTTTTCTACTCTTTTCTTTTCTGTCTTTTCTTCTCTTTTCTTCCTTTTTTCTTTCTTTTCTTTCTTTTCTCTCTTTTCTCTCTTTTTTTCTTTCTTTTCTTTCTTTTCTCTCTTTCTTTTCTTTCTTTTCTTTCTTTTCTTTCTTTTCTTTCTTTTCTTTCTTTTCTTTCTTTGTCTTTCTCCCCACCCCCTGTTTCCTAGTCCGTGTCTGAGCGTGTGCGTGGGTGTTGCAGGCGTGGGCATCGTGCTCATCA